CCCCCCCCCAGCAGAACTAGGGTTAATGCAGAAACGTTTAATTTTGATTATTTTTCCAGATTAGATTAGAATTGCACCAGTCACTTTTGCAGAGAAACCACAAGTGAAAATAAACAGTTTTAAAAAACGAAAAATTGCGTCTGTATCAATTCTATAAAAATTACCGTTGCATGGGGGAAGGGATATCGTGTCCTTTTTAAAACCCAGTTTAAAATTATGTATCCGATTTCCCATAGAGTAATAAAACGTCGAAGAGGTGAAGCTTAGCTCAAATGTATACAACCGACCTGTCTATTAATTATTTGATAGACAGGTCGGTTGTATACATCACGATATGTTTACGTATCTAACACTGTACACTTGTATATAGAGTGATCGTATTTCTAAAGGGGGATTTTATGGAATTGACCAACTTTTTGATTTTCTTTCTTTATTTAAAGAGAATTCGAGGATGTTGACTGCAAACATTTAACAATTTTCAAATTTTTAGGTTTTCAATTTATAAGCTAAAAGTTTTGTCAAAAATATTAAGTTTCTAGGGCATGAATTTAACTGAAAACATTCTTATTTCAAACATTTTTTATTGTTTCTTCTCTTCAACTCTTTATCATAAACATGATAGTGTATGCAGGGTTACCCACAAAGATGAAACAATGCTGACGACCTGGATTTTTTGGTAATTTTTTTTATGCCTAAGGTAGGGTGCAGGGCGATAAAAAACAAGAGTATGTAAAAAAATCTTAAATAGCCCATAACTTTTTTATGACTAAAGCTACAGATCTGAAAACTATAGTTTTGAAAAGCCCTTGAAAAATGGTTACAGAAACATGTGTCACACTAATTGATATTTGTTTTAAACAAAAAATTATTTTTTTACATTTTTTCGACCTAATCTATCTAATACCAATATTCAAATATCTACATTAAACCACTCCTCAGAAATACGATCGCTCATACAGCGTTAGATACAGGGTGTCCGAAAAACATGGGAATTCAGTGACGAATTCGATATCGTCTTTTCTATGAACTAGCATTGTAATACCTGATTTCAAAAGCCATATTATTATTATTTTATGAAAACGGTGACTGGCTNACAAACAGAGTAAACTTGTCCGTCTTCACTGTTCATCTTGCGGAGACATTATAGACACATCTTTGCAGTCTTTTACCCTTTTCTTTAAATAAACTCTATCAGACATAATAATATTATGGCTTTTGAAATTAGGTATTACAATGCTAATTCAGAACAAAGACGATATCGAATTCGTCACTGAATTCCCATGTTTTTTGGGACACCCTGTACGTAAACATATCGTGATGTACACAACCGACCTGTCTATTAATTAATTAATTAATAGACAGGTCGGTTCTGTACATCTAAGCTAAGCTTCACCTCTTCGTTTTATTACTCTATGCGATTTTCCTATAAGTTCAGTTGTACTTGAATTGAGCATGCCCTATGAAAGCTGTTTATGAATGTCGTCTGCATCGAAGTTTTCTTGTTTCTTTTTTGTTTGTATCCTCCTTTTTGTCCCCCACACTCTGTATCTAGAATTCTGCTCCTCTCATATGTATTCTGAACCCAGCTCCTCCTCTACTCTGTATCCAGAACCCTGCTCCTCCTCTTCTCTGTACCCTGAACCCTAGGCTTTCTCTACTCTGTATCCTGAACCCTGCTCCTCCTCTTTTCTGTACCCTGAACCCTGCTCCTACTCTACGATCTATATACTGAAGCCTGTTCCTCTCTCTCTGTATCCTAAACCATACTCTTCTACTCTGGATCTTGAACCCTACTCCTCTACTCTGTATCCTGAAACCTACTCCTTCTCTACTCCGTATCCTTAACTCTCTCCTCTACTCTGTATCCTAAACCCTACTCCTCTTTATCCTGAGCCCTGTTTCTCCTCTACTCTGTATCCTAAAAACCCTACTTCTCCTCTGCTCTGTATCCTGAGCCCTGTTTCTCCTCTACTCTGTATCCTGAACCCAGTTTCTCCTCTACTCTGTATCCTGAACCCTGTTTCTCATCTACTCTGTATCCTGAACCCTGTTTCTCCTCTACTCTGTATCCTATACATTGTTTCTCCTCTACTCTGTATCCTAAACCCTGTTTCTCCTCTACTCTGTATCCTAAACCCTGTTTCTCCTCTACTCTGTATCCTGAACCCTGTTTCTCCTCCCCTTTGTACCCAAAACCCTGTTCCTTTACTCTACAGGGTGTCCCACGAAACATGACAATTGGTGAATAGTTTTGAATGGCTTCTTCAATATGCTGCATTGGATATATCATGGACTTTTTCCAGTTTATTTTGTTAATAAAATCTTTTACTCAAATATATTTTACTTTGTAATAAGTTTTACAATAACATGAGTGCTATATAATATCATTTCTTATTCTCTTTGGTATTAAACAGCCTAAAAAATATGGAAGAAGACATTTTAACCTATGCACTAACTGTCATGTTTCGTGGGACACCCTGTATATTCTGAATCCAGCTCCTCCTATACTCCCAATTTTCCTTTAAGTTCTTTTCTGTAGACATATCTGTCATGCTTTTCCTATCCCACTTTCCATCTAGTTAGTCTCTTCTAAACCCTTTCACATCCTGTCAACTACTCCTTTTTGTGTTTTGTACTTTCATCTTGTAGTTTTACTTCCAGATTTTCCTTCCCCAAACTAAACTGAAGGTTTACTATTTTATTTTAAAGAGTTTTCTGTTTACTAACATAGTATTACATACATATAAGATAAACTAATAAATCATTCATTTAGTCCTGTAGAAAAAATAACAATTACGAATAGATTTTAATCTTGATAATACCATCATAAATGGTCCTCATTATGACTTTGTATCGTTTAAAGAGGGGAGGAAATCAAACCACAGCAATTCTGCGTCCGAACCACATTCTGCCAAATTTTTCGTCCGAGCCTTCTCCTAATGCTCGTCCATAGGATTTTTTCCATCTTAATCGTCAACTTCTAGATTTTTATTCAGACTTTGAAGAAATTGGTAGTTTTTAAAATTCAATATAAAAAGAGCTGTAAGAGGGGGCTCGTAAGCTCGTAAGAGAGAATGAGGAAAACGTGGTTCGGACGTAGGGTTTAAATGGCCTGCCTTCCAGCTTCCTCCCCTCATTATCGTTCTATAGATCATAAACACAAAAATTATTCATACTAAACAGATTTGTTAGATAAAAAAGATTAATGAGGTGGGAGGTGTACGGAATCTTATCAAAGCTGTATCCCGCCCTCCCCTCAGCTTTCAACCCAGACTTATTAAATTATTAAATTATTATTACAAATGAAGTTGGTTTCATAAAGTTTCAATAAATATATATATGTTGTATAAGAATGCCTGTTTCAACACTACAAACTAATAATTTAGACTTTACTGGGGGATTCATTAATCTCTCAACACAGGGAGTTTAAATAAACTGCAATTCAAGTTTTTTTTGGCACAGTTTTGTGAGTTTTTGCACAGTTTTGTAAGTTTTTGCAACGAGAAAGGAACTGTACAGTTTACAAAGGAATTGAGACTTTGCCGCAAACTCTGATTTTCTGATCTCAATATCTTTACAACCCAAAGTTGAAGACCTTAAATATTTCACATTATAAATTGTGTTAGATCAAATAATTTACGTTTAAATATAAAAGATTACACCTGCAGGTTTTAGGGATATAGGGATTATAAAATATAGATCTGTAGCAAAGACTCAACTCAATTAACAGTTTTAGGTTTACTTTAACATTAGACATAGTTCATGATTTCGTGGATTTTTAGTAACATATTCGCCTTTCTTTAACGTCTGCGACGTACTTGGATAACAATGTAAGGTTATCAACCCTTGCGCGTTTTTGTGAACAAATGATCGAATTTCTTAGTTTAAAAAAGCGCTGAAATTTTGAATGTGGTTTGGAAGATACCATCTATATGCAGAGAATTATGAGGGCTTTATCTTCAAGGTTTTCTCCATTTTATAAATATGTATAAAATAAGCTTAGTTGGGTTGTTTAGGGCTGGGTAGGGTGGTTCTCTTCGAAGATAGGATCTTGAAACGAACGAATCTTATTTTTTTGCTCGACCCCCAACTCCTCCCCCTGTCATAACGCCATGATCTAAAGTTCATTTATCAAAAAGTCGAAATATGCATCGCAGTCAAATCATATTTAGATTGACAGTTGATTTAATGGAAATTTAATGGACTCTTTATCAGGCTTTATCCATATTTAATGAAGTTACATTAATTAAAACCAACCAAGGGTTTTAATGGATTTGTATTCATGAATTCTTCATTTTTATCTGAAGATTTAGAGGAAAGCGTATTAAACCCCCAACCCCTTATTTCAGTCCATGTTGTCCCTTCCCCCCCGCCCCCCTCTTCCATCTCTCTAAGAACCCTTTCATGTTATGCAGGACTTGTCGGCTTACTAGTAGATAAATTAGCTTGAACATCTACAAATATACGCATAGGGGGCATAATAAGCGTCATCTCAATAGGTTTCACCACGCAACCCCTCATATGTCTAATATATAAACTAAACCAACATGTCTGATATAAAAATAAAAAATTGATGTTTTCAACTATTCCTTCTCCTCACTCTTCCCAATAAAGGATTTTACTTTAGTCACGCATTTGTTGACAAACCCTTTAGATTTCCTGTCCAGGGAGGGAGAGGAGGATATATGATCATAGTCCTTGAGAGTACCTCGAGATGCTCTGGGTCCTGTTTCTAACAGGACAAAACTAGATCGAGTTGACTCCGTTCCGTCCTTAGTCTGGAATCTTCTCCGTGGTTCAGGTACTGAGTTCTCCTCACCCCACTCCGGATCACAGCTTCGAGACTTCTCAAACATTTGTCTCATCTTGGGAACTAGAGATCGTGTTATACTCTTACTCCTGGAGACAGGTCTTGGCAGGGAACTATAACTGGAGCAGAAGTTGTCACCAACTCGTGTCAAAACCTCGTTAAATTTGGCAGGTTTGGCATGAGTATCCGGAGAAGGAAAGTTCACAGTCTCAACCTTCTCGGAATTTGCCGAGACTGCAGATTCCTGCTCATTTGCAACATCTTCATTTTCCTCAATTTTCTCGTGGAAAAAATCCTCTCGAGTCTCCGGAGTAAAGTTCTGTACTCTCACATTGTCTAAGCTCAAAGATTTCCTCATCTGAGGATTGGTTGAAACTTTCCGGGTTCTTCTCATTACAGGACTGTACGGGACTTTAGTGAGAATTAGAGGACTTTGTCGCCCGAGAGAAGGGACCGTGAGCTGGACCGGCCGTCCTAAACCAGGCAGTCGTCCGCTTGTCATCGGAGAAACGGATCGAGCAGGACTGAAAGATCTAAGGTTGGGTTTGGAGCAGGAGAGAGAAGATTTCTGAGGACGAAACTGAGAAACTTTCCGAGGTGGAGGGTTTGGAGTATCTGGACATAATAGTTTAGTTTGTAGTGTTGAAACAGGCGCAAGAAGTCATTGTGGTTGGTTCCCAAGGGTTGAGGTTTCATCGGAGCGGGTTGACGGAGCATTACTCTCCTCCGAGATGGTTCTCTGGTATGTGTTCTGTCTACCGTAAGAGTACTGGGATCCAGTATTGGAGCCAGCTAGAAACCGCTCCATAATGGGTCCACCCATACTTCCGTCACCGGAGATAAACCGGACTATCTTCTCTACACATGCGTCCTAGAAAACAAAATACATTAATAATTGTTTCTTAAAGGGACTGTGCGTGAAATGTCAAGTAACTCTCAAGGAACAGATCAAAAATGAATCAGAAATCCATGTTTTTCTTTTTTAAAACTGTTCATTTTCATTTTCGGTTTCTTACGATTGTATTAAATTCTAACATATATTTTGATTTATTTTTGTTGTTTTAAGAAAAAAAGATCTCTTCACAAAACAAAATATAAAATTTCCATTAAAAAGTTTGGATTTTTCAAAAGTTACAGATGGGCACGAAGCGCCCAGGAGGCCTAGTCATTTTAAATTTTGGAATTTATAAGATACAAATAATATTGAACTGGGACTAAATTGGTAACCCGCATTCAACTTAGAAGGTAAAAAACAGGCAGACCGCAGGACTATGGGAATATGATGTTTATTGTTAATTGAGAAGATGTTACATACAGTGGTTAGGCGATTATATCAATACAATGAAAACAAATTTTCCATTCAAGTTTTGATTGTTAAAAAGCTTTTTTTGAATTATAAGTTTACCAGTAATCAAAGAGAAGCTTTTTTAATTGACAGCCTCTCTTTACTTAAACAGTACACACTTACGCTGTACACACTTACACTGTACACACTTACACTGTACACACTTACACTGTACACACTTACACTGTACACACTTACACTGTACACACTTACACAGTACACACTTACACTGTATACAAAATTACTCAAAATGGCTAAATAAATAGAAATAAACATTTGACATAATATTTACTCTGATTTGTTTATAGATTCATAATCTTTTTAAATTAGTGAAAAAATGCAAATCTGCAAAAATGTTTACTGGTGTGACGTAAAGGCTGTATAAGAAGATCAATTTTCAGTCAAGATTTTATTATTTTTCTTTGCACTATCAGAATTAAAAAAAAAGCTAAATCAACCACAATATCTAGGTGCTCTTGCCATAGTTAACCTCCATTTCTCTTAATAGCTTTTTCAATTTAAATAAATTTTACAGAAAAATCTAATTTTTTTCCCCAGTTTCGCACCCCCCTTTAATCTACTAGTTGCTCCTGTATCTATGAGTATATCTCGAAGAAACCATAACTCAGCCTGCTCTAGGTACCTAGATACCAGTTAGACAACCAGTATACAATCTGTACAAGGAGCAGTTATCGTCCTACAAGATCATATTCTATTGATGATTCTACGGTTTATCCGCATCCTCCATCCGCCAGCTGATCCAAATAAAAACAGATCAGAAACCTCAATACTATTTTCAATTAATTTCAAAGATAAAAATGTAGAATATGTGTACAGCGCACACCAATAAACATGAGAAGGTAAAGACGATCCAGTCAAATATTGAACAAGCAAAATACCCTTTAAAATAGTATTCAGCAAAGGAAGTAAATACTATTCTTAATCTTCTAATCCCTTCATACTTTAACCCATATAGTGTATACTATCCTCTATATACTACTATATACTGGTATATTATAATTTTATTTTTTTAAACTTCGAAGTTTAAATATCAAACTGAAATAGTTTCCACGACACCAGTTTACAAAGATATGAGGATTAGAAAATTTGAGTTTAATACAAGTGTTTCGATATTTTTATAAACATTTTTACAATATAACTGGAAAAAATTAGAAATTAACTTTTCAGATTCATGTTTTTGGGCAATCTGGTTATATTTAGAAAAAACTACAATAGCACAATAATTACTCATCACACTATTATTTTTTGTCACAACTTAAGAAAAAAGTTTTACAATTAAATTTCCTCCTAATCTTGTAGGTTCTCGACTTTTTTACCTTCTTGACAATGAGAAAATTTCTGTCTAAAAACTTTACAGTCAAATTAAAGAGCTATAAAAATATTTTTTTATTAATAAATAATATAAATATATAGTTATATATTTGAAATAATTTATGTTTTGCAAAAACGAATAATCGAACAATAAAAAGTTTTTACATCATATAAAATATGCGGTAAGGTGAATTTTCACGCATTTAAAAAAAACTTGGTAAATTTTTTATGTCACCCTGTGGACCTCTAAGTTTTAATGTCTTTAGTTAAACAATCATAAAGAAAGAATGAATAAATCATTATTAAATGTTTAAGATAAACTGTGTTTGTTCTATAATTGACGTCACTACACCTCTCAATACTAAATACAGCCTCAACTATTTACTAAGGCCTCTCAACAGTGCCGGGCTTGTGCTTGGAGTTCAAGGGAGAAGATCAAAACACAATAAATTTCAAAGGAATTGACTCTTTGCCACAAACTCTGATTTTCTTATCCCAATATCTTTGGAACTCAATGTCGTAAACCTTTGATATTTCAAACTTATATTTTTTTATCTAACAAAAGTCATAGTTTGAAATTTCAAAGGTTTACGACGTTGGAATCCAAAGATATAGGGATTAGAAAATTAGAGTTTGTTGCAAAGAGTCAATTCCTTTATACTGTTCAATAATTCATTTCAGATTTTTTAATCCCAGCTTTTAACAGATTACTCACTTCACAATGGATGCTTTGGATCCATCCTAGCTGTTCAGGACCAACCCCCCTTCCTCACCCACACTCTGATTTTCTAATCCCTACGTCTTTTTCAATCCAATGTCGTAGACCTTAGATTTTTCAAACTGAATTTTGTCTTAACAAATAATCTAATTTTGGAATATCAAAACTTAACACCATCAGGTTTCTTAGATATAGGGATTATATATTTTGAGTTCGTGGCAAAGACTCAATTCCTTTAAATGCGATTCTTCGCAAGACTTTATACATTACTAGCTGTAGCCTGTGCCCGTGGAATAATAAAATCGAATTATGAATATAAAAATTCGATTTTTTTATTTTGAAAAAGAAATTGAATTTTTTAGCCTATGTTTGAAAGAAGATGTTTCAAATGTTGTCACTTAATTCCCACGTTTAGTTGGGACAATAACATCATTTTATGAAGAATTGTGGCAATTTTTTTTAACAGAAATTTAAGATAAAATATCTTAACTATATGAAAATTTCGATTATATATAATGTTGTAATCTCTGTTGTATGTCCAATCATAACTCAGGAACCCCTTGGTCGATTTGCCTCAAATTTTTATTGGGGATCCATGGGAATGTTCTTAGCCTGAGATTCTAAGTTGTGTGTGTCAACTTAAGTAAGGAAAAATAGCTATAATCGTAATTTATGACCAAGCGCGGGTAAACAGCGGGAGTAACTTTGAGTACCTATGGGCAACGCTGGGTTCCCAAGCAGTTTTGTACACAATAATAAACAGCTCTTTAGTCTAAAACTAATCTTATCTAATCATATCCGGTTTCTAATAATAAAGTTAGGGAATTCATCTCTAAATATATCAACACACAAATGACACATTATAAATGTAAACAATAATGAAACAATATTTCCCGCGCGCATGAGTCACAATCTTTGCCGCGGCATTTGTTCGATATATTCATGAGCTAAGTGACGTCACATAAAGATAAGCAAACCTGTGCACTTCTGCACTACGCTAACTTGGAAAACGTGCAAATTCAGATATAGCAATGAATAGTTAACATATGGAGGCAGATACATTTCTTTTAAAAAAGTAATTATTTTTACAAATAAGGATTTTAGATCTAAACCAATTCAAAAATAAAGAAATTTTTATTTGAGGGGGGGGGCTTGGCCGTAAGGCGGGGGCCGTTTTGATGGATATGTGAACATGTGTGTAGGTTTTAATCCCCCCATATCTTTTCCAAAAGTGTATTTGGCTTTATCTTATTCAATTCTTTATGGAGCATGATAATTAGAATTTGAACTGAACTATGGTATACATTAATATAATTTCAAAATAATAATATTCCCAAATATCTTCCACCACCCTTCTCCTATTCTCTATCATATTCATGTTTAAAGTCTAATAAATGACAGGCTGTTTTTAACACTGTGAAATAAATCCGGAACTTCGTTCAAATTTCTAGATATTTAATATGTATGAATTGATTCAGTTGATTGACGTTATAAGTAAATTCAAGCCGATAATTTTTATTTAAAAATAAAATTTAAAGGGAGTGTTCGCGAAAATGAAAAGGGGGTATAGGCTTAACGCGATAAAAAGCGCTTTTGATCTCTACTAATCTTACTTCTATCTGTTGCGTCTATAAGGAGAAAATTGTTAAAGACGTCTTATATCGAATAACTTAGCGTCCTATTGCAACGACTTAGACCGTAAAAAATCAATTTAATTTCAAACAAATCATTCAGATATTACAACCTATACTCATCGATTATCTTTCGCCACAATTGTACATTGGGTTGTTATGATATAAGGATATAAAAATCAGAGTTTGTGGCAAAGACTCAGTTCCTTTCTACGATGAATCCGGATAAAGATTTCTTGTATTAAAGATTTCTTATACTTAAGATTTCTTGTATTTAAGATTTCTTGAATTAAAGATTTCTTGTATTTAAGATTTCATGTATTTAAGATTTCTTGTATTAAAGATTTCTTGTATTAATACAGTTTTTCTGACATTTCTATAAAACATTGTGAATCATAATCAAAAGAATATGTTTTTAAGGGATTTGCATTGATTGGTAGTTGAACTGAAATTGCAGAATTATTGAGAATTTTTTATGGTTCATTTGAGACCTATCAGACGTTTTTACGATGCATATTTGTTCAGCAAGAGAGCAAATTCAATATTTAAAATCCTCATTCATTGTACATTTTGGAGAGAGATGATTTTGAGAACCCGTTTTTTATAAATTATTCAAAAACGATGAAGAAAAATGTAACAAAATTTCTACAGTGAACTAATTAGATGCTTAGGAACATATTTCTCATTAGAAATTTGTCAATAAATCAATGTTTGAATAAATTGTTTCTTTTTCTTCACTATATTTTTTTCTTTTTCTTTTCAAATGTCGTCTTTTCATCTAAAATTCCCGGAAATCTAGAGAAAATTTTGAACATTGAGACATTATATAAACCATAACTGAATAAGATTACTTATTTTCGTTGATAAAAGTTAAGTTTTATTTCCTCAACCTGTTCCTAAACAGATAATTAGTATACTGTAGAATTTATATTACATTTTTCGTGGTCGTCATTGAATAATTTAAATAAAACCGATTCTTAAAATTATCTCCCCAAAATAGAAAATCTATGAGGATTAAAGATTGCATTTGCGCTCTTTCTAAACAAATATGCACCGTAAAAACGTCTCATAGGTCTAAAATGAATCCTAAAAAATTTCTCAATAATACTTCAATCTCAGTTCAACCACCTTAAATTGCCGGTCACTCCCTTAAATTGAAAAATAAACATAAGATTTAATATTCAAAATTTCTGTTATCATGCTTTTTTTACTGTTAAATGTTTTTTATCCATCTTTTTTTAAAGAATAAAAATTAATACTTCTTTATGAATAAATAAATAAAATTAATACTTCTTTATGAATAAATAAATAAGAATAATGATAATATATATTAAAAATAATAATAATAATAATAACAATAATATAAATTATAATAATAATAATAATGATTCTAAAAGATGTAATATATTTCTGCGCATAACTCAGTGAAACACTGAAATTTGATTTTCAAGTGCATTTAATTAACCCACATGGACCGAGATTGAGAAAAATGTGACAAATCATGATTTAATTGGGAGGAATATCGACATTTTAACATACTTAGTATTCATTTAAATCAAATCAACACGACGCATGTTAATTACGGGATGATTTAAGTTGGAATTTGTTTTTGGACAAATTTTCAGTGGAGAAGGCAAGGTAGAAAAGAGGATGTGAAAATTTATTATAATGAATATCAGATAGTAGCCTAGCAGGCCTCCAAGGGCACTTCGGGACACTTTTTCATGATATAATTCTAGATATTTTATTTTTACCAGCAACCATTTTTTTTCTTGACAAATATATAAAGATTGCGAAGATTTTTCTGCTCTTATTGGAAGATTTTCAAACAAAAATTATATTTCAAAAGGAAATCATTAAGTCTAAGACTTCGCCGTTCATAAACTTGCCTAGGGAGTAGGGATGTTAACGTTTTCATTTTTTTTAAACGATCGTTTCGTTATGAAAACGACGACAAAAAAAGAAACGAAACGATCGTTTTTTTAAAAAGTTCGTTTTTAAAAACGGTCGTCTTCAAAACGATCGTTTTTATAAAGCTTGTCGTTTCGTTAACGACTACCCTTCGTTAACGATCGATAACTACGTTCCTTTGTCAACGATCGTTAACATGTTTATCACTACATTTTTTTCTTCAAAAACGATAGTTTTTTTAAACAATCGTATAAAAATCAATCGATGATCTTTTTTATAAAAACGATCCTATTCAAAACGATCATTATTCGTTTTCTAAAAGTTAAAAATGAGTGGGTCATTTTTATAAACGATCGTTTTTTCCTAAAGCAAAACGATCGTTTTAGTAAACAATCGAAAAACGAAACAAAAAACGATTAACAACCCTATACAACGTGCATAGATTTTGTATGACCCTTAGCACTGTAAAATAAATTAAAGCATTATTATGTGTTTTTAATGCAAACATATTTAGTATTAAAGGGAAAAGAAATTTTTTACGTCAAACAAAAGTAAATTGGAGGTAAGATTAAAATGTTTTCATCAAAACCTCCTTTAATTTAAGAGCTCTTGAAAAGAACAAAAATGTTTTGAATTTCTGTTATGTAAACAAATAAATCGCGGGCAATTTGAATTTCCGAGCCGGGTCAACCTTTATGGTCCCAGTCTGTACTGTATCGCCCGGACATTAGGTAAGTAAAGCAGACACTCAATAGAACTAGCCGGTGCAACAAGGTTGACGTGGTCAGACTTTAGGTTGAATTTACTTTTACTTAATTTACTGTTCTCATACTTTTGCAAAAAATCGAAACTAGAAGACGAAAAGTAATGTCTAATAAAGGATTTGAGTCTTTGCCACAAACTCAAATTTTCTAATTCCTATATCTTTGCAACCTCATTGTGTAAACCTTTTATATTTCAAGCTTAGACTAGTTCATCTACTATTTAGAGTTTGAAATATCTATGGTCTACGTTATTGGGTTGCAACGATATAGGGATTAGAAAATCAGAGTTTGTGGCAAAGACTCAATTCCATTTTTCTGATCCTTCTGTCTAGTTGAGAATGCTCTGAAGGAAAAGCTAAAAAAAAACTTGATTTACCTGATAATCATGGATCCATCGAACCCCATTGTAGGACGTGATAGGACGCATTGTCTCCGGTAAACTGTCAGGTTCTGGCATCACAAAATTATCAAACACTGGGATAATATTACACTGAGATTGGAGTGCACAATAGATCTCTTTATGGATCCAGTCTTTCTGTTCGTGATCCCCCACACACCTGTCCATAGCTCCAGCTGTACACACTAGGATAAAGTTTCTAGCTGATCGTATACTCTGGAGCAGGTTGTTATCAAACTTACCAGCTTCCAACCCTGCTACGTCAAGGAATACTGTGTAGTCCCGTAGCTCAAGGTGCACCTTGAGAAGGCTGGCGAGCTGGGATCCGTTTGATCTCCGGTAGCTCACAAATACATCTAGGTTTTTGTCTAAACTCTCTTCAGAGTAGCTAATATCACCACGTTCAACTTTAACTCCTTGTTGGATTTTAATTCTATGAATTTTATTAGAAATACCACATTCCATGAGTAGCTGCTCGTCGTTTATACTGAGCAATGTATCCCTGTCTATCCCCTTGTTTAACATATCATAAGTATAAACTGAATATTCCTGGCCTAGAGTTTGCAAAAAATCATTAAGTCCTGTATTATCCACACTGGTGTAATCCGTCCTCTTCTTCAGGTTGGTCAGCTCACGGAGAAACCTTCTCCGGAGGATTCCGTTCTTCATCTGGATATCTTCTCTCAACATCTCCTCCGTCAGTTGGAGAAGTAGGTCTCCGTCCACTCTGCTCTCTGTGAATGAATCCGCAAACTGTGGAAACCCGATCTGTTTGACCCATTCCTTGACATCTTCTACTGACCAGGTTGGAACCTGTTGGCTCAGTTTATGAGGAACATCAGCTCCCATGATCCTGAGAGCCTGAGCTGCATATTTGGATGCAATCCCCATGGGACTACTAGCGACCTTCTTCAGGGCGTCCACTGCTCCAATTTCATCAAATATTGAGGTTTTACCTTGTTTTACTTTTATCTCAGCTTCCATACAGAAATGAAAAGCTGCGAGATTTTTAGCCTCTTCTCTCTGAGAATGTAGAACCGGGATGAGGCGCTTGAGCCAAGTAGAACTCTGACCCCCTGACTGCTGGGCGGAGATTTCTGCAAACTCAGCCGGGTTCTTCCCTTGTACAAAGGGTTCAACAAGATCAAGAGTTCCACTCTTCAGAACCGCTGCTTCTATCTCTTTATTAGCAACTAGAACTGCTATGGCCAAACATGCGTAGTATTTTATAGTTTCATCGTTATGAAAGGCCAGAGGGAAAAGCCAAGTTGGAACTTTACGTTTAATCATAAGCTCCTGATTTTCAGAACCTCCGTACATAGCTGCATTGGCCAGGGCACTTGCACAATGCCGTAAAGTTTCAATATCCGTTGACTGACATTCGTTGACAACTGTATCTAAACCTCCCATTGCAATAACGTCCCCACACGTGGTTTCACTGTGCTTGAAGAGGTTCTCCAGGATTCCTGTACCAACCCTAGTATGGTTTACATCCCGTACATCAGGTCTAGTTAACTTTCTAGCAATAGCTACAGCTTTATCCAATCCTTTCTCAACTACATATTCTCTATTCTCAGTGATTAAACATTTCTCTAGGAGTTTAGCGCTGTTAAACTGAAGAACAGCATGATCTGTTCCTAGGTTCTCCATGATAAGATCCATACCACCGTTGTTTCTCATAATATCGCACAGGGTTTCTCCGATGTCGGGACCAAACCTCGGAACTTTCCAGGCCGAGGACATCATGTCGTTCACTTTGGTAATCATGCTCGCCAAGGAATCCTCGTTATGCTCCGACTTGAGTTGTTCCACAGTGTTGGACATGACTCCGCAATATTTTACAAGAGCATTCTCTACATCCTTCACGTTAGTTGTGGTTCCCAGCCTGTCCAGATCTTCAAAACTTGTCAAGTATTTATTGATTTCTTCTTTCGTCATTTTGGTGTTGATCATTTTACTAATCTGATTGGAACTGAGTAGCTGTGAGGTTCGGGTTACCCCTCCTGATGTTATACTCATCTTTTTAGAAGTTGCCGACGACGCGTGAGACTCACTTGTAAATTTCCCTGTTGAGTCTAAAGTAGATCTCAAGGTTGATGTTGCAGCAGAAACATTTTCGGAAGAGAAAGCTCCGGCCTGAACCCTGTTCCCTGACATTGTTGCAGTTGCACTCTCTGACTGCACTACATCGCTAACCCTGTGAGTTCTGGATTGATGTTTCAGTCCGGACTCTTTCTCCGAAACAATACCGTCTTTCTCCAACCTTCCCTTAGAGGCGGATGCAGCTATTTTTTCTTCATAACTCACATCTCCGGTCTGTATTCTCTTGGTCTGGGCAGCAGTGGCAGTAGCACTTTCAGAACTAAACTTATCTGTCACTATCTTGGTCTTAGAAGAGGAAGAGGTTTTCCGTTCTTCGTGTGAGTAACTATTTGTATTTGATAAGGAGGTTAGGTTACTCATCTTAGCAAGGGGACTAGAATTACTCAGGGTTAGTCCACCGCTATGCATGGATGAGACAAGGTTAGGACTGGTTAAACCGGAGTTTTCTGAATCTGAGAAGTTTATATCCATGTCTGGTAGTTCAGGCATAGGAGAAGTCACTATAGGAAGGTTATCACATGGTTCATCTATATCTATTTCACCGGAGGACGGTATTTCCATAATGGACGGACTAGTTTCATTTCTCTTAAATCCGAGCTGTTTTAGTCCTGCTCCGGCCGCACACAGATTAGAGCTGGCCGACACGGATCTGTTAAAGGTTGAGTTTCTTGACTCTGAGAGGGATTGAGTTTGTGTTGCTAGGATCTGACTTGAGCCTGCCAACCCTCCCTGCAGGTTCTTCATCTCCGACAAGCTGTTCTTCAGCTCCCCCAGGTTGGATTTAACCTCGGGGGAGGAGAGAGAAGAGAGGCTGTGACCTGTCAACCCGCTGAAAAATATAGATATTATGTAAAATAATCTGAGAATATTTAAACCTTATCTAATCCAAACCCCAGCGTATTTATTACACATTGGCTCAATCTGAAGTAAATTATATGCATCGTACTTTGACAAATTCACACACTAGGATAGAGTTCATTTAATCTTGCAAGTTTGACACTGTGTCATTATTAATTCAATTATCTTAATTTTTATCCTACCCCCCACCCAAACCCCCAAACCCCACCACCACAAATATATTGGATACTAATATGCATAAGTAGATCTAAAGAGAAAGGCTCAGACACTCAATAATATCTTATTTCCCTTGAAATGTATAACTATTGTAGTTCTAGGTTCAGGTTTTCAAATAAAACTAATCTTACCTCGGCTTGACATTCATGGCCTCTTGTTGGAGAGCGTTAGCCCCGGACTGAACCGACTCCAGTAGCTGCTGTCGTTTCGCCGCAACTCTGCTCAACTCCCGTCCCTTCTGAACACACTGCACACTGACACAACAAGCAAAAAAGGAGAATTTTATCTTAAAACTAAATCCAAGATTTTTGATTGTTTTTAAATATTTAAAAGTTTGTATAAACTGATCAGGACTGTGTGTGCTGAGTGTGTATCCGTGTGCAGTGAACCTGTGGAGCCGGAGAAACACGACCAGTCCCTGCGAGAGCGCTGCTTCGACTGTACTCACTAGAAGATACATAGTTACATACTTAGTCATCCCAGAGCAAGGTTGCAGAACTATAAATCCAGTTTCAAGAAATTCAATTAATATCATTAAATAGACGAGATAATAAAATGAAAACGCCCTAGACCACATCAACATCAGAACCCACATACAATTAACAATTCAACGCGTTCAAAACATATTTTGAAAACCCCTGTCTAGGAAATATAAAACTTGTTCTGTTAAAATGATTCCTAGAGTAGAAATTTACAAACAACGTTAAACTTGAAAAACAAGGCAATTTCTGAAGTAAAAAGCTGTAAAGTCTGATATTTTTCCACATTACAGTCATTTTAATTGTTTGTAAATATCCAAGGATTGGAGTTATCATTTGAAAAATATTTTTATTTAAAATTTTTATTTCTACTTTACAAACTCAATAGAGTAACTGCGATTGAATGAGGATATTACAATAAAATAAGACTCTAAAAGAAAAATATTGAAAAATATTTCTATTTAAAAGGAATTGAGTCTTTGACACAAACTCTGATTTTCTAATCCCAATATCTTTGGAACCCAATGTCGTATACCTTTGATATTTCAAACTTATATTATTTTATCTAACAAAAGTCATAGGTTGAAATGTCAAAGGTTTACGACGTTGGAATCCAAAGATATAGGGATTAGAAAATCAGAGTCTGTGGCAAAGACTCAATTCCTTTGTATTTCTACTTTACAAACGTCAAAAGAGTAACAGCAATTGAATAATGATATTACAATAAAATAAGACTCTAAAAGAAATGAAGATACACAAAAAAGTAGGGGAAATGAGAAGTGCATAAGAGAGTGGAAAGGGGAAATGAGAAGTGCATAAGAGAGTGGAAAGGGGAAATGAGAAGTGCATAAGAGGTTGGAAAGGGGAACTGAGAAGTGCATAAGAGAGTGGAAAGGGGAAATGAGAAGTGCATAAGAGAGTGGAAAGGGGAAAAAAGTATGAAATGAACCGATATGAAAAAAGAGAAAACTCGGAATTTAGCAAAAAATAGAAAAAAAATTTGAGAAACACAAGAAAAAGGTACAAAACAAAATGAAAGAAAAAATTCAAAAGAAAACAGAAGTTATAGAAATTTTACAACAAGAAATAATCATATCGATAGTTTATAATAAAAATATACACTTTGTTTGTCTGTTTGGGTGTCTGACTGTTTGTATCCAATAAACGTCAAAACGGCTGAACAGATCGGGCCCAAATTTTTTGTGGCCCTTCACAAGTCCCCGGGAAGGTATGTAGATGATCAAAATATTTAAAATTTGCCTACAACAAAATTTGATTTCCATCAAATTTTAAAAATCTACGACATTTTTTTTTTATAAAATCCGCAAACTTTTTTGTTTTTGTTTTACAATGTATACACAGAGAATATGTTCACAATTGAAATAAGAAATGGTCGCGAAGCGCCCTGTGAGCCTGGTAAAATATATAGAATAATTAGATTAGGAGGGAGAACAATCCGACATATGTTTTTATTTACAGTATCTGGATCATGTATCAACCCTTGTCAATTAAAAACAACATTTTTAACATTTTTAAATGCTCTATCATTTATTTCATTTTAATCATATATGATATTATATTTCACTGAACTTTTAATCAGTTTCTGCTAAACAGGTATTAGTTTATATTTCTTAAAAGTTTAAAAGTCTAGAATTTTCCATAAAAAAATTCCTACTTTTCCGACTTAATCAAGAAATTGAGTCTTTGCCACGAACTTAAATTTCTAATACCTCTGTACCTTTGCAATCTGATGGTGTAGACATTAGATATTTCAAACTTAGATTATTTGATTTAACGGAATTTATAGTTTGAAATATCTAAGATCTCTGACATTGGGTTGCAAAGATATTAAGATGAGAATATCATGATTTTTTAGATATTTATCAAACCATATCAGGTTTAGATATAGAGTAGATACTAGAGCAGGAAAACAGAATGTAGACATGAAGAAACATTTAGACCTGCAGAAATTGTGCCTATTTGGAACGAGGGATAGAGTGAGAACATAAGGGGGGGGGGAGTGATTGAGGGGAGAAAACGTGAAAAGAGTTTGAAAGTGAAAAAAAGCCATAAATTGTGTCTAAAAGGGGGGTTGAGTTAGAACAAAGGGAAACATATAAAATTCGGAGAGAAAAAGAAAAAAAGAGATAAAAGACTAGAAAAATTTTTCAAACAAGAAAAAAAAATAATTTTTTTACAAGATTCAATAGTTAATGTTCTTCGGTAGATTTTATGATAGAAATAAATTTATAAGTTTAAAACAATTTTTACAAATGAAAGCCAATAAATAGTTATTCCACAGGCGCCGACCGAATTAAATCATTTTGAATATCAAGTAACTAGCACGACTAAGTATTTCAGGAATTTCCGGTCTGAAGTTGGTATTTCCGAATTCTTATCTCGGAAATACTAAACAAATCCGTATTTTTTACTACGACAATCCAATCTTTCTCTAAAATTAAGGCAGTAAGTCCAAAAAACGCGAATTAGAAAAGTATTGTTAATTGCAAATGGGCCTCTAAAAATAAGGCAGTAACTCCAAAAAACGCGAATTAGAAAAGTATTGTAAATTGTAAATGGGCCTCTAAAAATAAGGCAGTAAGTCCAAAAAACGCGAATTAGAAAAGTATTGTTAATTGTAAATGGGCCTCTAAAAAGAGTTTATTTTCTTTTAACACAGATTTCCTATAATATAAACCGTGGATGCCTACAGCACAGTCAAGTAAATAAGGAAAGGTTAATATTGGAAACGGTAAACCCACGCTTTAAAGGATGAATATCAAAAATTACTCTAATAACTTGCTTTGCTTATGTTTCTCGACCTAGTACAGCTAACGTTGTAATAAATTTGGGTTCCATTGATTTATGATTTACAGTGGTACCTATAAAACTGTGGAATAGGAAGACGACATTTAAGAAACTAATAGTTCAACCAGCAGCATAAAAATGACCTTATTGAGTGGTATGGTTCTTTGTACACTGCACAAATGCTGTGTTTTCTGTAAATTAGGCTATTTAGAATCATAGATTGAGTCTATCGGTCGTCTTCATATTCCTCAACTTGATGGGTTGCACTATATCATTTATTAGTTTTCAACCTTATCATTTAAAAATGACCGCTACATTATTTAAAATTGTAATGGTTATTTTTTTACTTGATGTTAAAGTTCATTGCTTTAATAATAACGATGTTATATATTTTGTCCGTTAAAATTTAGTCATAAATGAATTCTACATCCTTAAAGCTTTGTGGGTCTCCCTAGTCCCTCCTGTATATTTGTATGTGAGCGGAGAAAAATCCCTATTATAACGCACACCATGAGCTGGAATCTACCAGGATACTGAGATATGACTCAGCTCCGAATACAACTGGAGTATGGGAGGGTCTTGGATTAGATCTGGAGAAAAAACTTACATTGAAATATTTAATTTTTTAAAATATGTACGTGCAAGTGTTTCAACATTTTCAAGATGTAGACCTGAAGCCGAATTTAAAGAATTTGAGCCGTGGCTCTAATATGGTTGGTTCCACTTAAATTGTATTCTATGTTTTAAGATTTAAGTCGGGCTCAAGTTTAGACTATTAGGTTGCAAAGATAAAGGGATCAGAAAATCGGAGTTTGTGGGGAAAAAACTCAGTTTCTTTTGTCGGCGGTTTCAATTAAAAGAAATGACGAAGAAGCAAATTATTCCACTTTATGTTGGTTACCACTGTAGCAATACTTTAATTTATAAATCAGAATTCAGAACCAAACCCCGATGAAAGTAAGAATGTTGCGATGACTTGAAAATATCTGAACACAATCACTTAAACATGACATTGAGGAGAGAAATAAAATGTGCGCTCCATAATATTTTATTTAAGGATACAGAGACAGAGAGTAAAGGAGTAAAAGAGTAAAGGAGTAAAGGAGTAAAGGAGTTAAGGAGTAAAGGAGTAAAGGAGTAAAGGAGTAAAGGAGTAAAGGAGTAAAGGAGTAAAGGAGTAAAGGATTGAAAGAGTTAAAGATTAAAGGATAAAAATTATTGAACCAGGATTAGAACTTGCACCTGAATTATAAATGTTGTTAAATAAATGTGTGGGTTTGATACATGAAGGTATGTTGAATGGAGTAGTAGGGAGTAGGGAGTAGGGAGTAGGGAGTAGGGAGTAGGGAGTAGGGAGTAGGGAGTAGGGAGTAGGGAGTAGGGAGTTCAGAGTAGTGAGTAGGGAGAAAATACTAGATCTAGTAAGAAAAGAGTAGTGTGCAGAAGTCCATGTGTTCAAGGGTTCAGGAATTCAAAGAATTCGGTTCAGATTCAAATCTTTCTCAGAAAATGTCCTAATCTTCTCAACAGTATTTTTAAAACAAATTCTAAATATCGGCAAATTTAACGCATTAGAAAGCAATCCAACACCAGATTTTAATAAGTCAAACATTTTTAAGGTAAGGTCAGTTTCTTACAAAATTTGAGAAACTCATAAAAAGGGCAAAAATAGTGTTAATTGGCCTAGAAGATTTTTTTTGTAAATGCAAAAGAAAAAACATGAAAATTTGCCAATATTTGAATTGAATGAAATTAATTCAACAAAGCCTCTTTAAAAACAACATAGAAAGATAGGTGCTTAGTCCAATGAATTTCTAACAGGATGATAGTAAGCCATAATTATCTGCCCCCTAAAACCCACAGGTCCCCTAGCATAAACCTGGTCCCCTAGCATAAACCTGGTCCCCAAGCATAACCTGGTCCCCTAGCATCAACCTGGTCCCTTAGCATAACCTGGTCCCCTAGCATCAACCTGGTCCCCTAGCATAACCTGGTCCCCTAGCATAAACCTGGTCCCCTAGCATAACCTGGTCCCCTAGCATCAACCTGGTCCCTAAGCATAACCTGGTCCCCTGGCATAAACCTGGTCCCCTTACATAAACCTGGTCCCCTAGCATAAACCTGGTCCCCTTACATAAACCTGGTCCCCTTACATAAACCTGGTCCCCTTACATAAACCTGGTCCCCTTACATAAACCTGGTCCCCTAGCATCAAGCTGGTCCCCTAACGTAAACCTGAGTTTGAGCAAATATTGAAATTATTTTCCGAATATTTATTGACCAAGAGCTAATCCAAGGTTTAAACTCAAGTAGTAAAAACAAAGCATCAGCTTTACAACATACATTACAGTTTAAACGCTTCAGATATATTTTAATTTTGTTCAGTTTCAAACTGTACAGGGTTGTTCCACTTGTTTATTTATATATAATTGTAGGAACTGTTTATATTGATAATAAACGTAATTTTCCAATTTGTTTATATATTTTCACAATTCAGTTTCGAGAAATTTTTATTATATTTATACTGTTACATTTGATTATTAGGAAGGAGTTTAATTTTGTGTTCAAATATGCATGTTTGAGAGCAAAAAGTTTACAGTCGATGTTTTTGTTTATATTTTGCCACACTTGGATTTGAAATCCAAAAAGCTAAAATGTTAAAGGGAGATTGCGCGAAGAATGTAAGGGGGTATGATAAAAATGGATGAATCGGCCCCTGTAAAATATTTCTTAATCAAGTCGATATTATTAAATATATAAGATTAGTTGTGATAATTATTGACTTCATGTGATATCAAACGAGGAGATTAAAAATTGGAAAATTTGCAAAATAAAATATATTTTCAGGTTTGATAGCATGAGGGTGGACGAGGGCTCTGTGAATGAATCCGCAAACTGTG